GTGTAAACAAGAGGCTGGACAACAACACAGAGAGATGGCTTGCAGCCTCTTACCATAGTTCGTCAAAAAAGATACCTACCGGTATAATTCTTCACAAAACTATTTTTAGGTTCCTTATATCTAAAATAACAAGATTTCATTTATTGCTCCTTTAATGAGAAATATAATGGAATATGCACAAGAACATTTTTATAATATAAGAAAAATGGTTAAAAAAAAAGGCAAAATCCAAAGGTATCTTTCAAAGATCCAAAGAAAACATGAAAAATGAATAATCTCTTTCAATTTAAAGATGAAGACAATGAGTAAAACACGCTAATATCAGGAGTGTGTTATCTTTCTGCCTGCAAATTTTTCTAACTGCTTCCTATTGAAGATTGCTGTTTATTTTGATGGAGGACGTCACAACAGACACAATAATAAAGATGATCAGCTATTATTGATAAACCTTTCATTTAGAGGATACATTTGATTAAAACAAATTAATAAATAAGAAAACATAAAAAAATGAGGGTTTTAAAGGATTATTGGTGACTTTGTCTGAAGGGATTTTGATGGAATCCAGACAAAAGTCTGGATTATGAGTTGTAAACTTTTGCAGAGTGGTGTATGAGCCTATAGTTACTAAAAGAAATATGCCAAAGAGTCCAAGCTTGGCAAAATGTAAGAACCGCATAGGAGAGATCTTAATTGTGATGCTTTAGATTTATTCTTCTGTCCTGATGCTCCAGACTCCACTGCCCTCAGGTGGCGATGATCATAGGCTGACTGAGAAGGTTTCCTTCTTGACAAAACTTCAAAATCTTGTAGTTTCAGAGCACAGACACAGTTACACTTACAGAGAGGGAAAATGACTAAAGCGGATACGTCTAAAGGAGAAACCTTTCTCTTTCCGCTCTGACCTTTGCTCGGTCAGTTGTGAACGACCCTGCAGGAAATCAGCAGGGCTGAGCAGTCGGGGTTGTGTGGAGCGTCATGTGTTTGCAGTCAGCTGACTGGTGGTTTGTGTGCTTGTAGATGCTGAAAGGAAAAACGAATATCGAAACCTGCTGACAGAAGCCTGGAAAGAGCTGACTGCCACATGCAAAACAAGCCACGTGCCAAAATTACTGATTTTATTTTTAATCTCCATGAAGAGATATGAACTAATATGAAATAATTAGAACTGATGGAGAGGAAAGACAAGATTGTGTTGCCTCCTAAACAGGCAGACCATGACTAACCTCATAACATGCATCACTTTTATATTGTTCTGGTTGCAGGCACTATCTCTGTAAGTGTCAGGCAATACATTTAGTTGAAGAATTGAAAAACAGTATTTTTAGAACATGCTGCTTCCCTCTTCTGGTCACTGTATCTAATCTGTCACCTCAAAATATTTTAAGTTAAAAAAAAAAAAAAAACATTCCAGAATTTCGAAGGATCTTATTTTTTTTAACTAGAGGTCTGAATAATTTATTCTAAATTAAGAAAATCCTTCAGATTAGCTAAAATAATTATTATAAAACTTCTTTTAATCTAAGATTTTTTTTTTTTGTCTTGCAGCAAAACTACAAATGTTATGACTTTAGACTACAGTAAACAGTAAAGGTTTGTTTTTGTTGTGCAAGGTGTCGTATTTTAGGGAGCCTATATCTGTCTGATGTTTATGTCAGTTTGTTCCTGTGAAATTCTGCACTCCTAGAACACCAGTGACCTCATGTGTTAACTTTGTTTGCTCATCGACAGAGACCGTCTCCATCTATGTTCAGGTTATTCCTGGAATCCATGCAGGACATGGACAGAAACTTCTAGGAAAGTCTTTGAGATAACTGGAGATAGATCTTAAAGATCCCCGCTTAAACCAGAAGTGTTTCTGTTTTGTTTTTTTAAAACAAAAAGCAAGAGGAATGTTTGATCACCTAAACTGGGATGATCTGACATGACATGCAGGTTATGCTGAGAAAAGTGGATTATTAAAGTGTGCTGTGTATAAAAACTGTACTCTCATAAATGCACACTTTCTGAACTTTGTGCCTATTTTTTGAGAAAACAAGCAACAAATCCAAAGACCTGATAAAGATGCTTTACCTTTTTCTTGACTTTATTAAACTCTTCATCCAATAGATATTTTAAAAACAACCTTTAACCTCCAGTTGTAATCAGGTCTGTGCTTTAAGCAGAGATGTTTAAGCCTCTTGGTGTCTGTTTATGGTGGATGGAGATGGAGAGATGTATTTAAGGTTTATTTTCAGTAGGTTTGATTTCTCCCATACTTTGATGAGACATAGACGACGGCTGAAAGGGAAAAATCTGACATAACAGCAGCAAAAATCCGCTTTATCCCGAGGATAATGTTGCTCAACTTTGAAGATAAGTTAGATAAGGAGTTCCATCCAGAGAGAAGCTTGGAATAAAGCTGCTGCTCCAGAACATCAAAAGGAGTCAGTTGAGCTTGTTCTGTAATGTAATCAGGATTCCTGTTGAGCTTCTTTCCTTAAAAACGTTACAACCTCATCCCTCTAAGAGGAGATACCTAGCCGACCAAAAACTCACTTAAGAGATTGGACTTAAAAGCTTCTTTCTGTCATGATCTGCCCTTATAGCTGACATTAGTTACTCACTTCATTCACCTGCCGTTCCCGCCCCGTTCTCTAATTATCATTCATCTTATTCACCTGCTCCCCTGCTTTATGTTGGGCTCAGTGCAGATATCAGGGACAGCTCAGTGTTTAACTTCAGTTTCATGCCTGTATGTTTGTTTCGTGTCTTCAGGCGAGTTTAGTCATTACTCAGTGGTGAGAGCATTTCAGGAGTTCGTTGGTGGTTTCTGATTTCCTGATTCTGTTCCCTCTCATCCACTAAGCCTGTCTGTCCGTGTCTAATCTGGTGAATCTGGTGGATTCTGTCTGTCTGCTTCCATGCGTTTCTGTCTGAGCTGGAATTGTGAACCTGCCTTCACGCTCTGTGGATTCCTGGAACCCTGGATCTGTCTGTTCCTGTGTGGATGGGAACCCCTGATCGGGCTGAGGACTCCTGGATTCTGTCAGATCTGTATCCCTGTCCTGAATCGGATTCCTGCTAGCTCATTGAGATTGCTGCATTGGGGGACACTGATGGGCGGCTCTGCACCGCAGCTCGTTTGACAGGCCATTGGCTGGATCCTGCCTTCCTCAGAGAGGATGGACTGAACTGTTTCACCAGGTAAGTGAGTCACTCGGATAATGTCAGATGTCACACATCGAATGTCAGTGATGGGGTCCTCTCCACTACTGCAGCTGCTGTCTCCACAGCTCTGCGCTTCTGTTCTGTCTGTTTATGTTTGTTTTGTTTTAATAAATGTTTTGAACTTTCCCACTGCCTGTCTCACCTTGAATACTGAGTCCATCTGTCCCGTTTTTGACACTTTCTTATAATCTGAGAATAAATCACATTTACTTTAAGCTTTTAAATGCTTTCTATATTGTTCAAGGTTCAATGTTTATTTGCTCAAACTATCACACTATTGTACAAAGAGCATAGGAACATCCAACCATTATAATAAGTAAGAAGTCATTACTCTAAAATCAGACTCTAAAGAATAATATTTTGTAAATGCACTCAGGGACAAAGACCTTGTTTTTTCTGATCTATCTTGTGATGTAAATAATCAAAATTGAGGTGTTTGTATTAGATGAACATTGTTTCATTGGGATGAAAAAGGGAAGCATGAAAGCTTGAGACCCCATCCTAACTGTAAAGTATGGGGGTGGCAGCACCATGCTATGGGGGGTGTTAAGCTGCAGGATGCACTTTATAAAAATATTGCATAAATGTGTGGAATACTGCAATTCAAATGGGTACAAATGCACAGTTTAGAATATTTGGGTTTAAGTGTCAGTTTATCAATCATGTATGCTGCATTTCATTGGACTTGATGAAACACAGATGCTTAACAGCAGCAAAATTTTACTCTGAGATCACTGTGAAATTCTAACTAGGCCTCAAACAGCTGTGCTTCTCTCCTCTTTGTCCAGATGCAGGGGCCCTGATTGACAAATGAAATGTAGTATTTACTGTCATCTAAAAATGATTTAACCCTCCCCTTTACCTTCTATTAAAATGATGGGAAAAAGCTCTGTATTAACGGTCAGCTTGTTTATCGATGTCATTTTTTTGCCTACCCTTATTGTGGATGGAGCAAAACTGCCGGCAGTGTTCCCCTTGTTGTGTTGGCCATGGCAGGTACCTAAAAATGTGTTCTACGTGTCATTTTAATAGAAGTATTCTAAAATATTGGTTTGGTGAATACCATAATAACCAATGAATGGGATGAGAGGAAATGAAAAAGCAGACAAGATAGCTAAAAAGGCTTTAGGAAAGCAGAGTATAGACCAGATTTAATTTGGGTAAAGGGAAGGTAAATAAAAAATTAAAAAGAAAGAAACAGAATTATGGCAAAAAAAAAAAAAATAATAATAATAATAATATGGGATGAAGATTAGAAAGGAAGAAGATTATATAGGGTTCAAAAATCTGTAATTGTTAAAAATTATGGAGAAAGAAGCAGAAGGGAAGAGATAATTTATACTAGATTAAAAACTGGACATACCTACTTGAATGAGTTTTTTTTGTACTAGCGAAGAAAAATAATGAATTATGTGAGGGTTGTGAAAGAAAAGAAAATGTGGATCATGTTTGGATTGATTGCATTAAATATGCAAATGAAAAAGAGGATGAGCAAAGTAATTATGGAAAAAGGGAGAGAATGGAGTATCAAAGGAATTTTAGGGACAGATGGAGATAGGGAGGAAAATTTGGTTATTGTTTTTATTTTTACATTACACAAAAAATAAAAAATAGAATATAGTAGGTAGCACTATAGAGTTACACACTCATGTACAGTAGGTGACGGTATGCACCTGTAAGTTGTTGCAATCCGCCAATCTAACAAAGAGAAGAAGAAGCATTTGGACCAAATCTGCATGTGTGATCCGGTGCGATAGGGGGCGCTGTTAACTTCAATCGGATGCGTAAGTTTGTTGCCGGAAGTACATCTCTTCAAAGGGAAATTCTCCTTTTCGGCATGTGGAGTCTGTTTGGGCTTTTAATTCTCATAGTATTTTGGTAAATTGAATCAGTTGTAAAATGGGAAAGAAAGGCAAAAAAGAGAAGAAGGTGAAAGGAGCTGATAAGACGGCAGCTAAAATGGAGAAAAAGGTTTCAAAGAGGTCCAAAAGAGAAGAGGTATCATCCGTTTTTAAAAAATTAAAAATAATTCAGACTTTTGTTCAAAGCAACAACAGAAGATGTGAAAATCTATGTGTGTTAATTGTGTGATCAGGAAGATTTGGAGGCTCTCATCGCTGAGTTTCAGAATCTGGACGCGAAGAAGACTCAGGTGACAGAGACCAGCTGTGCTCCTCCATCAGCGAGGTGATTCACCCCAAAATCACACTAAATAAAACTAACTCTATAAAAGGTTCAAGAACAAACCTTTATGACCAAACAAAGGCAATTTAGACATGACAAAACGGGAAAAACACACCAAACATCCTAAAGGAGTCTTAAACAGAATTAGAAAATCTGATCAGAAATGCCTAACATTATAATAATGTGTTTTATTTAAAATATATTTTTTTTTATCAAGGTCTACGCTGATTGATTCGACTGAATTAGGTTTTGTTCCTAACGACCAAATACATGTTCATATAAACTGTGTTTTCATTTTAAAACTAATTAACACATTTTTCCAGAAAAGAAGAAACCTTCTGGGTTACATGAAAGCTGTTTAAAGTCTCAAACCTTTTTCTGGTTATTAATGAACTCAAAACAAATTAACTTCTACATTTTGCTGCTTAACTTTTTTGATCAACTGATGACGCATCAGACACAGTTGATGAAACATTTGCAGACTCATTGATGCATTGTTATCGGTGGTGTCAAAAGTACACACATTAGTTACACATAAGTAGAAGTATAGGTCTTGTTGGTCTCCATCTCCTGATAGGCTCTCGCCTGTTTCTGACCTTTTAGACATTTCAACATCTTTTTCTGAATCCAACATTGTAGCATTGCATAGACAATTCACGTTTACAGTTTGAAGAAGACCTGCTTGCTTCTGATGATTTCCTTTAGCTAACCAATGAGTGTTTACGTTATATGACACATCTAATTACACTAGCTTTCACTAGATGTGGATGGAGCCAATGACCTGCATTGGATGGAGCACATGACGTGAAATAGATATTTATAAACATTAAACCGAAGCCAAGAGTAACAAAGGAATAGAAAGTACAGATACTTGTGTGAAAATGTAATTAGTAGAAGTCAGAAGTAGGAAGAAAAATAAGTAATGGATTAAAGTATAGATACCTAAAAAGTGTACTTAAGTAAAGTAAAGAAGTATTTGTACTTCGTTACTTGACACCTCTGATTGTTATTCATTCATTAACCCTGTGCATGAACAGAACAACAATCACAGGGAAACAGTTTATGTCTCATTGTTGGCATTACATTCATTTTAATTATCTGTTAAGTTGTGAAACTCGACAATCTTTCTAGACATGAACTTTTCTCCCAAATTAACCAATAACGAAAAATTTCCAGGAGATGCATGTCGATTTTAAAGACAAGTAATATAATTGAATTTTGGATAAACTCTGAAGCACAAACCACTCATGGATGCTGCATAGCATTAGATAATTAGGAACCATAATGTCAGTGTTTCATCTGTAAGTCAGTGTTCATTATCTCACCATTGTTCCATCATCTGTGTGTATAAATGGGAGAAAAAAAATGGAAGATTAGTTTAGGTTTTTACAGTATGTAGTGGTGAGGAGTCACAAGAAAAACCCAAGAATATCTCAAAAGTGTACTTTCAGTGTTTTTTATGTTTAGCTCATCTGTCATGGCTGCCTCTGATGTCTCTGTTGTTTTGTTCAGGCTGAATGCGTCTCTGTCTGCACATCCTGAGAAAGATGAGCTCATCCTGTTTGGAGGCGAATTCTTCAATGGAAAAAAAGTAGGAAATCATCCAGAGAAACGTCCTGTTTTATGTTTTATGTGCCAAGAACCTTAAAGAAACTCCTGTTTTTTTTTTTGTGGTAGACGTATCTCTACAATGATCTGTTTTTCTACAACATCAAGAAGAACAGCTGGGTTAAATCCGAAATACCCAACCCTCCTCCTCCACGCTGCTCTCACCAGGTATATAAATAAAATAGATTAATTTATTACCATAATATTTATGTGTCAGAAAGCAACTGCAGACTCTGGAAATTTGAGAAAGAAAAAAAATCTGTAGAAATTTGTAGATACTGTTCACCTTTCAGTCACAAGAGGGCAGAATGCTGCATCACAGATATTCCCTGAATTCACCTGCTTGCATTTCAATTACCCAAAGCTCAACCCCCCCCTCCCTCTTTTTTTCCTCACATCAGGCAGTGGTGGTCCCACAGGGGGGAGGCCAGCTCTGGGTGTTTGGGGGGGAGTTTGCTTCTCCAAATGGGGAACAGTTCTACCACTACAAGGACCTCTGGGTGCTGCACCTGGCTACTCACACATGGGAAAACATCAAGTAGGTGCAAAGCAGGACAGCAGCCATAAAAATGGCACCAATAAGAAAACAGGGATATTTAAACTTATACGGCAACTGTGGTTTAAAGGCTGCTTCATTCAAAATGTTAATAAAAATGCTGATGAGTGATTAGTTCCTGCTTTGCATTTTCTTGGGTTCTGATGGATTCTTTGTACTTGTGTAGAGCCCCGGGTGGTCCGTCGGGCCGCAGCGGCCACCGAATGGTCCTCAGCAAGAGGCAGCTGCTGGTGTTTGGAGGTTTCCATGAGAGCACAAGGTAAACAGAAGGACCCTATTCAGCGATGCTGATGGAGGATTCACTTCCTCTAAGGACATCTGCAAGATCACCAAATGTCATAAAACTCATATATTGAATTATCTCCATTTTTGGCCTTAGAAATTTTAAGAAACCTCAGATTGACCTGCCCAATTCCTGGATTAGATTATGTTGTATTCGGACTAGTTCTAGCTGAATGATTCGAGTGTGCTGTGAAAAACTACATGGCAATTTTCCTAGCAAACCATTAATTTTAATAGCTTGTTTTGGGAATTAGAATTAAAGTAAATTTAATAACTTAATATTAAAATCAAAGTTAAAATTTGTTTTGGAATCCTGGAGAAATAAATTTTAGAATGTCTCAATAACCCAAAAAATAAGATGTAAAGAAAACAGCACCCTATCACCAGAATCATTGATGGTACTGTGCATACATTTTTTGGTCATTCCTTATTTCTTTACATTGTCCTTGACAGAATCCAGACTTTGTTGTAAGCATTGGAAGATGATCTGATTAACAGTTGAAAGTATCTCAGCAGTTCTTTTTAACTTCCTCTTTAGTTATTTGACCATTTTAAGAGGAATGTTTCGGGACTTATTTTGATCGACCCTCTGATACGACACTCAGACAGCGAACAAGGGCTGCCTGATATGCATGGAAGGCATAAAAATAATGTTTAACATTGCAATGATCATTGATTTTTCCATACCCTCCTCTTCTCACTTCTTTTTGTGAGATTCAGCAAGTTGGTCGCTACAATCTCAATTAGACGTTGACATGAAAGGCAGGGAAAGTCCAAAGGCCAACCATGTTCTCAGCACACAGTTTAAATGCACTTATGTAAGCATGGCCAACCAAACATTGTATCCAAGCAGCAGTATGCAGCATCAGTTTTATTCTGATTACAGTGACGATTATATTTCTATATTTTACAGCTCTGTTTCAGTGTTGACCCTTAGCAGGCAGCTAAAAAGAACCAGTTTTAAGCTGTTTGCCTGCAGCCTGCCACATGAACACACTCTGTTACCTTTTCCTCTTTGAATCCATGGAGAGTCTGTCAGATTTCACCAGGATCTCAAAGAACTGTTATTTGGAAACTCCTCAAGGATATGATTTATTCAAAAATTGATAAGTAAATTATTTATTTATTTGTTTATTAAAAAAAACAAAGTGGGTTATCTGCGTTCCTGTTATCTGATTTACATTTAGCTCTCTCTCGTTCCCTCGCAGCCTAAACAGTGTTGATGTCAGTAGGACTGGGTAGCGCTGTGCGTTCATTGATCCAAAAATATCAGATCTTATATTTTCCATAAAAAAAAAAAATCAGATCCTGGTCACCAGCTGTTAGATCTCAGTGAACTTTTACCTTTAGAGGGAACAAAAAGTTAAACTCCTTGTCTCAATACCCCCTTCATCTCACTCCTCCTGTAGGGATTTTATTTACTACAATGATGTCTACGCCTTCTCTCTGGACACCTTCTCCTGGTCTCGCCTGGCTCCATCAGGCTCTGCCCCTTCACCGCGCTCTGCCTGTCAGATGACCTCCACACCAGACGGTACAGGTGTCATCATCTATGGCGGATACTCTAAAGTGGTACGTCTTCAGTCTGTGATGGATGCAGGACTGTGCTTTGCACAGTGTCTAACGGTGATGCCTTTTTTTTAAGAGGGTGAAAAAGGACGTGGAGAAGGGGACCATCCACTCTGACATGTTTCTGCTCAAGCGAGAGGGTAAAGATAGCCAAGGTATGACACCAATCATCAGTTCAGTCTTCTCTGGCTGCTCTTTCACCTGATGGATTTTGATTCTTTTTTTTTTTGTGTGCAGAAAAGTGGATTTGGTCCAGACTGAGCCCCTCTGGGAGTAAGCCTCCTCCTCGCTCTGGTTTCTCTCTGGCCGTGGGTCCAGCAGGGCGGGCGGTGCTGTTCGGTGGGGTTTGTGATGAGGAAGAGGAGGAGATGCTGGAGGGAGACTTCTTTAATGACCTCTACCTGTATGACACAGTGAAGAACCGCTGGTTTCCCTGCGTTCTCAGGGTAAACCCAACACCGCTGCATCGGTTTATATCCAGACAGAACCTTATGGGTTTAATTGGTGTTGTGCACACTTTCCTCTTTAGACTCTATTGTGCTTCAGACATCTTTTAGGGCTGTTTCCCCTCACAGACACGATTTATTGAATCTTTTAGAATGAACAGTTAAAGTTGGATTTTAGCAGCAGAGCTTCTCTTGTGGTGCAGAGAAATAATTATAGGAGTCGACAAAGAACATTTAAAGCACTTACATCAGCGGCCTCTCAGAAGTTCAGGCTTCCTATGCAGCCTGGGAAACAATAGATTTAGCTTTTACCATTTTTCCCGATCTGGATTCGTTTGAAACAAGATTTAGAAACAAGAAATGTTTGACATTTCCATTTTATATCTCAGTGAAATTATTTGATTTTTGATATGTCACAGAACTCTGTTTTAACATTTTCTGAATCTGTATTTTGAGTTTAATTTACTGGATGGAAAGATATGCTCCTTCAAAAGATTTAAAAACACATTTTTTATAATTTTTTGGAAACTTTACCATCACTTTCTTGCTCTTAAGTTTTACATTACTGCTGCATCTTTAAGAGGAAATATCCCAGGTTATGATGCACTAAAACAACTTTGGGCTGTTTAATTCCTTGTGTGTCTCCTTAGGGAAACAAGTCGGAGAAAAAGAAACGACGAAGGGGGAAGAAAGTTGGTGCAGAGGATGAGGGAGCGGAGATGAAGGGGGAGGGAGAGGAGGCAGCAGCTCAAGGACCGACTGAGGTCATCAAGGAGATTGTGACAGAGGACGGTACATTGATGACCATCAAGGAAGTGATCCCTGGTCACCAGGAAGAGGAGGATGAAGAGGAGGAGGAGGAAGAGGAGGAAGATGGTAACTAGTGAAAGATGCTGAAAGCATGGGGTTTGGGGCAGAATAGCTGTAGAATATCACAGGTTTTAAACTCAAAGTCTTGTTCAACAGAGTCAGCCTCGGCCCCGATGGTGGAGCCCTGTCCAAGGTCCAGCGCCATGGCAACCGTCCGTCAGGGCAAGCTGTACCTCTACGGAGGGATGTTTGAGGTGGGAGACCGGCAGTTCACCCTGAGTGACTTCTACTGCCTGGACCTCCATAAGATGGATCAGTGGGAGGTTCTGGTTGAAATGGACCCGAGTGAGTGAGCCAATCAGAGCGCCCACTGAGGCAGAAACACACCGTCACAGCCGCCGGTGGCTGGTTTCATCCCAGCTGAGGAGGAGAAGCTGAGGCTTCATGATGATTTATGATTTCTGTCTCCACAGAGACGCAGGAGTGGCTGGAAGAGTCTGAGTCAGAGGATGAAGAGGAGGAGGAGGAAGCCAAAGGAGCAGAAGGGGAGGAAGAGGAGGAGGAAGATAGTGAGGATGATGAAGGCAAGGGATTACTCTGCATCTTTGATGTGTTCAGCATTAAGATCAAGATTTCTCATTGAAAGGAGGGTTTGATGCTAAAAAAAAGCCCCATTTCCACTACATTTTTTAAACTGTACCGAGAACAGTCTGAGCATGATGACTGAGATAAGTGTTAGTGTACATGGCACGCACAACTGAACAGGACTGTGCCAGACACAACCAAAATGCGCTAAACTGGTACTAGTTCATCAGTAGGGCTCGGCACGGTTCAGTTTTGGCAGGGTTCTCAGATAACCAAGCGCGCATGAGCAGACTGGGTCATCTCCTTACAGTCAGCTTCCGTAATCATGAAATTTCCGACATTTACAGAAATCCTAGCCTCCCTACTGTGCCACACGATTTCCAGAGATGAATCTGCTTAGCAGTGTGCTGAACCTCAACATGTTGTTTCCTGCGTCTCTAAGCCCTGATTGATCATTTGTCGTATCCACTTCCCAAAAGCCGACTCCAAAAACGTCCTTAATTGGACGAGCGCCGCCGCATTGGTTTGCTTGTTTACCTCTAGAGAGCAGTAGTACCATAGATCGTCACTAGGAGGCGAGAAACCATGCTAGCGTGATGTGTAAACGGTAGTAAGGAACTGATACCTGATCCAAGCTGGGTCAGAACTCGGCACAGATCGGTTTCAGAGGGCAGTGTTGATGGGGCTAATGACGTTAATTACATCAGATCAGTCTGTGCCTGTCTTTTAGGTTTACTCACCCACTTTTAGGAACTGTAACTCAATTTTCTGTAGATTCTGAAGCCTTGTGATAAATAAAGGGGGAAAACTATTGGGTTAAAGTTGATAAGAGTAAAACATTGAAACTGCAGCAGAATTAGTTTGTCACAATAAAACCCACACTTCTTTTTATCTGGGTTTTATCTTTACATGATAATTGTGAAGTGGATGTAAATGTTTGGTAGATTTTAACATTTTCTACAAATAAACAATTCTTAAAAGTGTCAGGTGTCCCTGTGACTTGATGGCTACGTTACAGCTGGTCTAACATTTAAAAAGCCAAGACAATCACTGATTTAAAACCAATTGGTTTCATCTTTAATGAAGTGAAATATGAAGCAGTTCAAGAGGTACGGACCATATCAGACACTGTAGATGCCAACCACATAAAACTAGCATTAAGAAAAAGAAAATGGATCTTTGATCTTTTCTTCTGCACTGGTCTGTGCTTCCAGAAGAAGAAGAAGAGGGAGAGGAAGAGGAGCACCCAGCGGTGCAGAAGGGAGAGACTGTCACAGACTACCAGATCCGGACCGAGCAGTACTGGTTAAAGGTTGCACGTTCCAACATGGGGCCCGATGCCAAGGACAAAAAAGTGGCCAAGGTTGCCGTTGCCATGGCGAAAGTCTTCTATGAAGACCAGTAGTGGACACTCAGAACTGGCAGTGCCTCAGTGAACGTTTTTGTGTTTATCAGCAGATATCTTTTATATTAAATGCCTATGAATGTCAAATGAACTCCAGAACCTGTAAAATATGTTTCTTAACAAAATTAAACATTCAGCTGATTTGGTCAACTTTGGGTTTTTTTTTTCATTTGTATTAGAATGAAATAATATTCATAATGTGTTTTCTATGAAAGTTTCTAGTTTCTATGAAAGACTTGCTTTATGAGGACTTGCCTAGAATAGTTATATTTATATTTTTAGAGTTACAGCACCAAATAGACAATTTTATGAGGGCCTCTCTCACTTCCATGGCAGTAGATGGGAGTCATGAGTACTGTGTGGGGAAACTTAACTAGCTGCAGGAAGCTTGGTCTAGAACATCTTTGTGAGGAGTTAGATATAGCAACTTTATTAAAGTAGACAGAAAAATTATAGAAGTTTAGTATCCTGTTTAAAAAAAAGTATAAAAAAAAATACAATACAATAAGCATAAATTAGATAAAATCCTCCAATTAGAGGAAAATTATACTTTCTCTGAGCTTTCATGTCCTATACTTAAGTGAATCTGGACTCTTTTGCTCTTTTCAGTACTTTTTAAATAACATTTTGCTGATTACCTGGAGGGCAGTATGCTTGTAGCAACACCCTTTCTTCATCTTTCAAGTGTTTCCATAAAGAGGAACAGTTGAATCTAGTGATCAAAAGGCCTAGAGGGATATTAGCAATAGGTGGAGAATGGGAACTGTTCAGGAAAGCAAGATGAGGAGGGGATAAAGGGACATGTGTACAGTTTTAGGAGACATCCGTCTGTGATGAGCACTGGCCTATCCCTCAGCGGCCTATTTTATCCTACCTAAGCACGCTGAAACAGGGAGGAGAAGAGGCTGATGAATAATAGAGAAGATGGATGAGAAGGAGGATATCTTCCTCTCTATAAGTTCCCTTGCTTGTCTTTTCTTATTTGAACCTTTTAAAATGCAACTATGGGACAAAAAATTAAGACTTTCATAGATAAAGAGATTTTTTGGGTGGTTGTGGGGGGTTTACTGCTGACGTGTGGAACCGTCACAGATGCGTCACTCATGGATGACTGTGGGACCCAGAGGCCTGTAGATTAGAAGGAGCAGGATATTTCCAGTGTTTTCTGTACTTTTTTTTAAAATAAAATCCACAAAATGGACCAGCGGAGAAACTGATTCCAGGCGTCAAAGTGTTTTCTATGTAAAATGGTTCTATGTCTAAACCTTGGGTGGGATGCTCTGGGACTGTAGGATGTAGACTGCCGCTCCTCCCTGTCCCGACTCATTGACGACTCAGAGGAGCACTCGCTCTCATTGATCGCCTGGAGATGTCACACACTGTTCAAACACAAGCAGATGGCGAGCAAACAGAGGGCTGCAGGATCACCTTCTTCTCCTGATGTGTTCAAAATAACAAGAGTGGGGTTATATCCTTGAGTAAAGCCCAGAATCCAGACCATAGATTGAAAAGCTCACACCCATATATGGAGAAAAAGGATAAAACTCATTCATCTACAGAAAGTCAGAAAGTGAATTAGCTGCTGTATCATCAAATCTCTTTCCAAACTTCAACATTTATTGCATTAAGTGAAGAAAAATAAGAAAAATAGAAACTTCATGTTGGTGTTCGTAAGAATGGTTGAAGTAATTTTGGGGTGCAAAACTCTCTTTACAGATACCGTCCATGGAGTCGACCAACTGCTTCTGTTTCTGCATATTTGTCATCTAGGAGGAAAATCTTTAGCTTGGCTTGATGTCTTGGTTTGGCCTTAGAAACAATAGATGTCATGTCATCTGTCCAATGTTGTGTAATTTTACCAGCATATTTTGAATATATTAAGTAACTAGAACTGGAAGTTATGGTCAATAATACATTATTCAGATCAAGGGTAAAACCCAGGTTCTTTACTATTTTGGTTGGACTTCTGGAAGTCAAACTTCTGAGCTCCTCCATCCCAAACATTTTCTCCTGTCTCTGTCTCTATCTTGGAGTTGTCCTGTTCCCCTGCTTCCAGTGTTCAGCAGAGCTAAGCCAACTCCAGACCAGATTACAGTAATAAAATCACTGTGAGTTTGAGGATTACAGCTGAGCCCTCTGAACACACAGAGAGAAGGAGGCTGAAGGGAGGCAGAGAAAGGAGGAGAGAACAGAGCACAGTGTGTTAATGAGGGGCCAGAACGTGGTTGGTTAGATTTTCTGACTCCAACAATGGGATTATGACATGAACATGGTTTGCTCAAACCCTCGACATCATCTGCAGAGAACAGCCAAAAAAGATGATTAAGAAAATACAGGTGATGGTGTTTGAGTTGTTCTCCCATTGTTGACTCTTCAATATTAGGACGATATTTAGCTTTTTGAAATTAGTAGTGATTTTTTAAATTTGATCTCTAGATTGGAACAGTGGTCCAAAGTCCATTTAGTTTCACCTCAGTCAGCTGGCAAAAGGCAAAAAAAGTTCTTAAAGTTTTGTTTCTTTCAAAACAAAACTTTAAGACTAGTTAGTTAGACTCAGTCAGCTCTCCTTTAAATGTGTCCAGTTGCAGTATGGGACCCCCATTCACCTCTCTGCCCTCCCTCCTCTGGTTCCCTGTCCATATGATCCATTTGACCAGTTCTCTCCAGCTCAGGTCAGCTGCTCCTGGAGTTCTTGCAGGAGGCTCAGAGGGGTCAGAGCTTTTAGTGTTGCTGCTCCTACTTTCTGGAAGAACCTCCTTATCCTTATCCTTTTCACTGTACATTTTAACAACTTTTCTAAAAATGCATTTCTATTATTAGCCCTTTTTTTTTATTTTATTTGCTGTTCTGATTATTTTATTGTCCATTGTTTGCATTGTTTCTGGTTTTGCACATGTAGCAGTTTGTTGCAGCTGCATACTAGTAGTAGGGGAGCCTTTTAGAAAAAAACAAAGGATGGTTGATATTTCTTTGAGATTTATATTCTTGTTTAAATTTAGGTTGAGATTTGCAAAAATTTTACCCGAGTCTGTAGAGTCTTTTGATGATTTTGCTGTTTCGGATAATCCAAAGTTTTAATTTAAAAAAATCTTACAGTTTTGGGTAAAAGCCTCCAACTATCCTTTATTTTTTTTATTTTGTTTCCATAACAGAAAATTAAACATTATTTTGCAGTATTTCTGAAAGTCTTTCAAAGTTTCTCTTTGGATTTGTCGAGCCTAATTGCTATTATAATTTATATGAAGATATTAGCTGACTCTTTTTCACAAAGCTCATTCATTTTAACACTTTCCGATGCACAAGAATCACAGCTCTATATGTACGTCTTCTGTCTACAAAATCATGACTCCCTGATAAGCAGCATCCAATGTATGGACTGTAAAAATGGAAGTATTTCCTGTTTTTTTAGTGTATTTTACCTACATTTAAGAAAGCAAGTAGGACAATTCGCCAATAGAACATAAAAAAACCTCATTATCTTATTTTAGCTGCATAATATCTATCAAACTTACTTTAAGCAAAATCTTAATTATATTGGCAGGTCATCTCATTTACCTGCTCAAATTAAGGGTGAATACTTATTTTAACCAATGTTTTGGTTTAAATGTACAATTTTTAAAACTACTTAAAGTATTAAAAGTAATGCAGGAATAAATGTTAAGGACAGATGCTTTAAACTTTATACTATTTACTGGACTAATCTATTAGAGAAACATTTTCACTATTCGTTTTATAATTAATGATAAGAGTGTCAAATTTAACTTCGCATCATTTAAAAAAACAAAGAAGTTGGTGCAGCACAGAGTGCAACCACAAAGAAATTAATTGTCTGGAACAAATTATTTTGGTGTTTTTTTTCTATACCAACAGGCCATAATAATAATAATAATTGAACTTTATTGATCTCACACTGGAGAAATTTACCTCAGCGTTAAACCCATCCCCTTTGGGAGCAGTGGGCTGCCATTTTGCGCTGCCCGGTGAGCAGTGTGGGGTTAAGGGTTTTGCTCAGAGACCCAGAGTGGCAGTCTGTGTGGATCAAACCTGGTACTTGCAACCTTCTCAGAGCACAAGCGAACTGTTCTAACCACTAGGCCAGCACTCCCTACTAATGAAAATGAGCTCTAATGAAACAAAACTAACAAGTTTATTTTTAAAATGTAAGGAGTAGAACGTAGAAATAATTGCAAAAAATGTAAGGAGTAGATGTAAAAAGTTGTCTAAAAAATAATTACTCCAGTAAAGCATAGATAGGCAAAATTTCTACTTAGGCAAGAAAAAGTATTTGTACTTTGTTACTTGACACCTCGATTTTTAGATCAGTTTTTGCAATGTGCAGAGTGATGTCGTAAACAACATGTGAACATTATCCTCATAGCTGTAAAAGGAAGGTTGCTGATATTAATGACACAAGACAGGAACATGAAATGTTAGATGTTTACAGTTCCTACAAACTTTGCAGCTATGGCATTTTGCAGACCTAAACCCTATATCAGCTTACCACACTTGATTTTTATTATTTTGCAAACAGCATTTTTTTAAACAGTCAGTGTAATTTTCCTCTGCAGACATTCTGATTAAAATAAAAGTAAAAAAATCCCCTAAGAGTCATTTTGAATGAATCCCTTTCACTTAGAGGACCTCAGGACCGTACCATTCTGTTGTTGCATCTCATATCCTTTACAGCATTTTGGACTGCTGGTAGCTTAATTTAGATCTTTGCAGATTTCTCTCCAGAATCCATCACATTTAGATTCAGCTGTATGTTGCTTCTTGCATTTAAATCAATTAACTACAGAGCTATATAACCCACTGCTGCAAAAGCAGAGTTTGTTGAAAAATGGGAAGCTTCTCATTTGTGCTTGTCGTTTTACACTCCATTGTGCTTTCAGTCCCGCATTTATCATTCTGTTTATTATCTATGGATATGAAATAACCTTTTGTAGGCATTCATACATGTTAGTAGCAACAAACCAGGTGGATATTATCATTAATAATTATGTCTGGAAATTCTTCTAGGCTAAAGGGATAAACCAGTGTTGGGTCTTTAGGTAGATGCTTGCTGCCAGCTTGTCAAAAATAAATATTATATCCATAGTTTTAATTGAAAACTGTTTTTACTGAAACTATAAATTGAAAACTATTCGATCTCTGGTCAGTTTTTTTATATATATTTGGAAGTTTTTACTATAGTTTTGTTTTTCAAGATACAATCAGACGTCTTTGTTTGACACCCATAAATACATTTTATAGGAACTTCTATTTAGTATAAAAAAGGGATAAAAGTTAAAACTGTTTCAGTATAGCTGCATTTTCATAGTAGTTGTCACTGGTGAAAAAAAAAGATTTATCCTTAAGTTAAAAAAATATTTCAGTGTAAGAACAATAGTTCTAATTCTTACATGTAGCTTAATTTTAGGGGAGTGGTCCGCTCTAGGATTAGATTTACTAAGTGTTTGACTGAAGGAGATTTAAATAATAAAGCCACACTTAATGAAGAAAGAGTTTTTTATTCAAAATTAAATAAGAAATGCAAAAAGTCTTGTTTGCTTTTAGGAAAAGTACATAAAAAGAAAAACTAATGGTTTTAAACTTCAGCAGAGGGAAATAAAAAAAAAAACTCACAATGACTCAAAAGTACTACTTCTTAAGCACTTAAACATCCATTATGAGAAAATCACTGAAGGGAACAAATTAGAGCAGAACAAATGGGAGAAAAAATACAGACCTTAAACTGAGTTAGCAAGGTGAAGCCAAATTACAAGCTGTGAAACCTGATGGATGAATCTTTTACACAGCTGGGAAGAATTTGCTAATATCTGAAGATTAAAATGAGACACTTATCTGCAGTGTTTCAGTCATCAGCTAAAAGGGATTCAGTGGTTCTGCTCTTTTAAGCTGCTTATGGCTGATTTGACCCGTTACAGACTAAGACGCCCTCTGGTCATGGATGCACAAACACTTGTTGCATTAATGGATTGCAATGCCTTCAGCGTCCCTCTGTTTATGTAACCAATTACATGGGGGCCAGGTGGGAGCATCATCAGTGATCGCATCATCCTCAGCTCCAGGGCCTGATATCAACAACTAAATCATTTAGAGGAGTGAGTTTGGTTGGTATACTCCTAATGAAAGCAACCAATATTGTTAAGAGCTAATTGACTCGATATTCCTTCATGGTGCATTTTAACAATTTTAAAGTTTCTCTTCTGAAATCTAAAGCCTCCTTTCTGTCCCAAATGCAAACACTTATAAATATAAAAATATAAATATCCCTGTTCGTTCAGTTTGTTCTCTGAATGAAAGAACATGGTTCCTCTGAAAGTTGGGTTTTTGGAACAGATATTGGTTTATCCTGATGAAAATATTCCAAAACCCAAACCAAACAATGTGCTGTATGTAGTTCAGTGTAGTGAGGAATGTCCAGATTTTTATAGGGGAGAAATTAAAAACAATCTCTTCACAGATGCATGGCTCAATTCAATTCAATTCAATTCAGTCCAGTATATTTATATAGGGCCAATTCTCAAGACACTTACAGAGGCAATTCAACCAGATCATACAGTCAATTTGATTCAAAGTTTTCTATCTAAGGGAAATGAGCTAAATGCATTGACTCAGTGACTCGAAGGCAATTCGTCACACCGACCATGCTTGTAGCGACAGTGGAGAGGAAAAACTCCCTTTTAGCAGGAAGAAACCTCCAGCAGAACCAGGCTCAGTGTGAGCGGCCATCTGCCGAGTCCAACTGGGGTTCAAGCAGACAGAAGCAGACATACAGAAAGAATCAGGATACAAAAGGCAGCTGTCAACCAGCACCACAGCCGGCCGCATCAGGGACACACACAGCCAGGCAGATGAGCTCCTAGTCAGCCCCCATGACAGATGATGAAGAGAGCACATTGAGTTAGTCACATTCAGAGAAACAGGACTACACTGAAAAATAGGCCAAGCTCCAACAAATATAAACAAAAGTGTTGATGGCATCAGCACAGCTGATAAATCTTTCTAGGATGGTGTTTCGACCAAACAGGAACAGACCAAATGATGCTACTATGATGAGAAAAAGCAGAGAGAGCATAATGTTAGAAATTTAACAAACAGATTCTGCAGAATAAAACAATAGAGATAGAATCAAGCAGAATAATGAAAAAAGGTTAGAAGGGTCATGCATTTAGAGCTACCATGTCCTGGATGGCTGAGAAGCTTCTGCATCATACCATTCTGTTAGGCTCTGTGACATAAAACCCCCAAAACAAAAATAAAAAGAATAAAAAGCAAAAAAGGCACCCTAATGGCATTGTTAGAGGACGAGAAAATCATAAAACCTAACATATCCATATGTCAGACAAAGAGAACAATGTGAGGCAAAGAAATGATGAGTCTGGGGGTTGTTTCCATGATGTTCCACAGGTGATGGAGGGATGAGAAGCGTCTGTCTCTTTAAAAAGCCGGATTGTGCTATTGAGCTGAGAGGGGGAGGAGGGGTTGGTGTTAGCTGCATTGGAACAGTCCTCTCTAATGAACAGATTTTCTTAGCGAGAGACATCCACAGATAAAGCAAGGAGAGAGAGAGAGAGAGAGAGGGGGAAAGAGAGAGAGAGATCCAGCCATCAGAGGAGACTGTAGGAGCAGGACAGCAGGCAGGCTGTGCGTCAGCCGGTGCTCCATAGGGAAACCTGGAGATGAGCAGGAGAGGACGCAGGAGCTCAGAGTAACGGGATCACATAGATGGATGTTTCATCAAACAGGCAACAAACAGGCAACCTGAAGGCAACCCACGCAGCGGATAAACCACTTATGGACGCAGTGGATTAAAGATCTGCAGACAGACTGAGAGGCAGATAGAGGGAGGGGGGGACCGAAGAGGAGAGATTCATCAGTTTACTTCTTTATTTTTATTGTCAGAGGGTGCGCACTGTGTGTATGTGCAGATGTGTGTGTGTGTGTGGCTGCAGAAGGTAGGAGACTGCATTGCTGTTCTCCAGCACCACACCAGAAGAAGCCGTTTAAGCTGAATATCTTTCTGTTCTCCCCATTTTCACTCTCCCCCTCTCTCTCTCTTTGCATACATGTGTTTCACCATTGTGCAATAGCGCTCAATATGCATGTGTGAGGGCTGAGAACGAAAAGATGATGAGTCTGAAGTGAGTCACAGAGCCTGACTTTAACATCTCCAGGATTTTGTGTCTTTTTTGTGCTGGATTTTTGTAAACTGGCTCAAACAAAATTTCATTTCTATTTTGTTAAAATTATGAAGCTTTCTGGAGGCTTTGATCAGATTCATGCTTTGGGTTGAAGGTCCACAAGGCTGCCACTGGGGAAACTTCTCAGCTTTACACCCCAGAGAGCTGGAGGCATCATCAGGTAGGAGGCGGCAGAACAAGTGGGCCTGAGCGGGCAGCAGCAGGGAGTAGGAGGAAGAGTTTGTGTCGTAGACTGTGTAGGCCGGCAGAGCTGCCTAATGGTTGAAATTCTAGCCGAGAGAGGATAATGGCAGCTTTGGGGCAACTCTCCTCCTCTCCCACCTGGATCATCTGCAAACAAGCTGAGAGGTGCTAGTCAAAGCAGCTCAGAACCAGCCAGGAGAATGGTGTGATCAGTCCACCTTGCTGACCCCTACACAGCTGAAAGGGGCTAAACTTCATAGTTCACCTTTTTTCTTCTCTTTATGCTCCGAGCTCCTTAAAAAGAGAGGTGGCATTTCTCCATCTGTGTGGGAGACATCTCCACCCCACTCCCTCTTCCTAACCCCCAAACTCCACAGCCTACAAGCTTGGTTCAGTGGCTCGCTTCTAGCTCCAAACTGTCCTTCTTCTTCCTCCCTCTGTTTTCTTTTTCTTTTCTTTTTCTTTTTGTCGAGGCTTCAAGGGAATTGCCAAGAGCTGTTTCATGCATGTCCACTGGCGGCAGGTTCAACTTTGATGATGGGGGGTCATACTGCGGAGGGTGGGAGGAGGGCAAGGCGCATGGCTACGGGATCTGCACAGGACCCAAGGGCCAGGGCGAGTACTGTGGTTCTTGGGCCCATGGCTTTGAGCTGTTGGGTGTCTACACTTGGCCAAGCGGGAATACCTATCAGGGTACCTGGGCTCAAGGAAAGAGACATGGTCTGGGCGTTGAGAACAAAGGCCGCTGGGTGTACAAAGGTGAATGGACACATGGCTTCAAGGGGCGCTATGGTGTGCGGGAGAGCACAGGGACAAGCGGAAAGTACGAAGGAACGTGGAACAACGGGCTTCAGGACGGCTATGGAACGGAGACATATTCAGACGGAGGTAAGGCTTGTAGGAGTTTGTGGGTGTTTTAAAACTCAGCATATGAAGATGTGTGAATTGAGTTATAGCTGACCATGTGAGACATCTGACTACTGACTTCAGAAAAAGTCCAGCTCAAAGCAGAGTGACTGACAGGCTGGGTGCAGACGCACAGTGGGAGGAATCTCTCCACAGGTCTTCTCAGGTCATCTTTGCTTCTTCTGCACCATAACACAACTTGGAGTCACACACATCCATGCACATTCGAGATGTTACATGAGCACAGCTTTTGCAAATTAATATTAACACCAGCTTGAATTTTTTACATGTCTTTCCTCAACCCTAAACCCTCAGACCGACTGCAGAGGAACACGTATTGCAGCCTGAGGCCTTCTATCCAGGCCATGCAGCCTTAGGGGAGGAGAAAAAGGTTGGCGGAGGGGCAGAAATCTTTCCATAACAAAAAACAAAGATCAAGAAAGAGATTACACCAAATTAATTATATTTCAAACAGAATAATACGGCAAAATCCATTTTTGATGTTTGTTTATCGATCAGTACTTTTAGTCATTTGTTACAACTCCACCAAAATAACACTATGAGTATGGGCAACTTTTATTAAGGGCTATTTTAAGACCTTAAGGCTTTGAATGCAGCAGTGTTCAGTTTTATGAAATAAAACATCTTATTAACGTTAAGTTTCTTGTATGTTGGATTCCTTAAGGACATTTTTGAGTTGGATCGGTATAAACAGCTTGGTTAATGGTAGGAAAACATGTTCTGCCTAAAAGTCAACCCTCAGGCATGAAAAGAACCACTTCTGGTATTATTTACAGTAACATCATGCTGAGAGCAGTTCAGCAATACTTCCAGTGCTAGACTGTAACTCAGGCTTGCTTTACATAGATTTATTTCTGTTGCTATTTTTAAGGCAAATATATTTTAGGTCTGTGGGAGCATTTCCCTCAGAGGTCTAAAGTTTTAACTAATGCGTCTTAGCTGGTGGTATTGTCTGATGCCATATTTCCCATCCAGAACTGTGACAGTATCCCTCTAGAACAAGTTTTTTTCCTACCATTAACGATCATTAAGGATTCATGATCTGAGCCTAACATTGCATTTACACATGAGATTGAGACAAGTTGCATGAAACGGCTTGATAAGATTTTTGTGAGCTAGAAACGTAAGATGGCGTCGCCTTTTAAACCGCTTTGATGGGTAACTAGCTCAGTTAGCATTACTAACTGTTACCTGAGTCAGTCTTGATTGATTGACTTTATTGATCTCACAGTGGAGAAATGTACTCGTTACATCAGCTCAAATGGTCAAAGAAGAAGAATGTGCTAAAGGAAGAAAAAGGTGCATGGGATATATACAGATATAAACAATGCGTCCAGATATGACAGCTTTTTTTTTTTTATGTATTTTGTTTTTATAGTAGGATCATTATGCAAGGTTACTGCACTGGGTGTTTAAACGGGAATTTATAAAGATGGATATTTATATGTGTATATATATATATATATATATATATATATATATATATAGATATAGTTTTTGCACTGGGTAGTAAAAGTAAAAAGAGTAAAAGTTTTTAAAAAGTAATATAAAGCGTCTTTTAAAGATCCAGTTAACCTTTCTGTTGTCATTGTTACCAAACAGTAAAATGAGAGGGAGAAAACAAAGGAGAAGAACTGCAGCAAACCGAATAAAGGAAATTAGCAACCAAATTATTTGTGCATCTTTAACTGGTGTCTCACTAAATTTTCACTATGGTTACATAATTACAATAAATACTCTTGAAACAGACTTCTTCCTGTTTATATTGTGGCCTTTGCTTGATTTTTAATAAACTCCATTTGATTTCTTGATGATTTGAAGTGAATTTGGATTGAACTCTATTCTTTATGAGCAAACATGAACTGCATCCGTTTGTCTTGCAAAGGGCCTTAGGATGGATTTTATTCTACATTGCCACTTTTACACCAAAAATTAACCAACACCAACTGGATCACGACTCTGTTTTAGATATTTTATTCCCTCCTTATGGGGGGTGACCCTGG